CCGAGTGGAGTTGCAGCGGTTTTAGTTTAGTACCTGGAATAGGACCGTTTATGATTCTTAGGTTTCAATGTCTGCCTAAAGTGGAAGACTTGGGCCGGCCATCGTCAGCACCACACATGTGATTGATATCATAGTTTGCTATTAAGTCCAAGATTTTATGGCCGTCCGAGCTCCCCGAAAGCTCCACCTCACGATACAAGCTGCCACTGTCGCGGCGTTACCTCGTATGTGTATGCGTGACATGCGTGCTATGACATTTTGATGAAGAAATGGTGTAGAACTTATCCGGGCTAGGCGGTATACGACTCTCTTGCATTTGTAAGTTTAATATCAGCTATTCTTGGCCTAAAATAAACACGACCTTGAAACATTAATCAATAATTACACATACTTCATCATACCTCATGTCTGCATTCGATAGCGTGACACTTGTGGCTAGATTCTATCCTTAGCTCTGATGAATTCCAGCCATGCTAAGGCTATTCAAGTGTGCAAAATGTCTTCGTTTGGCCGAGGTCGAGGTAGTGTTACATTGCAGGTGGCACACGCGGGCCAACAACTACGGAGTACATACACATACGAGGATGGCGCATACTGGGCATGGGGAAACCTGGCGCCTACAGAAGTGACCTCATCAGGCATTCTCCTTGCGACGAATGGTATGTGTCGAGAGGAGAATAGCGACAAATTAACGGAACCTCAAGGAAGGGATAATATCTTACACCCAACCCCAGCACTACAACCTAGTAGGTGTGCATGGATTGGACAGCACACCGAAACACTACATAAGCACACCTTTATACATGTAGTTCTGTATGCAAAAGGCGACGACCTATACCTGAGAATCGAAAAATGAGGCACAACGTAGAAATACCCCTTTGCGGCGACGAGTGGACTTGACAGCTGTACGAGTATGCCGTCGGGTATTATTGCTTGCGCCATTGTCCTGGATTTCGGACCCCTGGTCTCTGCACTCCAGAAAATACTACCATAAGCTTAAAGGACTCCGCATCAAGCCACAAAGACGTGAGCTCTGGCCGCGCCGCAGGCCAAGTCAAAGGGCCATATGGTAAGCGGCTATCAGCCTTCAAATGCCGAATCCCATTCTGTTCTGCTCTGGCCATCCCGCATAAAGCCAGCCAATAGTCGTGGAGGCGGCAAGCAAAATAAGCTTGGTATCGAATCTGATTCGCGGGGAAAATGGCAAAATTCAAAATGCCCGGTCACAATACCCCCTTGCCGCCCCATCAAGTTAATATACCGAGATGTCGCACTAGCTAATAGGTCCGACTCCAACCCCTAGCAGCCCATCAAGGCAGGATTGCTGTCTCTGGGTCTGGGGCAAAAAAAGCCCACAGAGGAACAGTCACTAATCAGGTTTTCTGGACGATTTCTCCAAAAGCCGTTGAGAGTTTGGCATCAAAGCGTACTTGTAGGTGAAGCTACGGCGCGAGCCCGAAGCAGAAGAGCCCATTCCAAAGATAGGCGACCGATCATCCCCGTTCCGCATGCCTTGCTGGATGTGGGGTGTATAGGAATAGTCGGCGATAATCCGCGAGCATTGCAACCCAGGCCAGTAGGGCGATCATGTCTGCCAAAGAGGCAAATGGCTACGGGAATGCCGATCATCCCCGGCAATGTGCTTGGCAACTGAGATGAAAGGGCAGTGGTCCATGTGCCATGGCAACAGGTAGAGTGTGTGAATGTCATTCGTGTCCAAGCTTACTTTGATGCGTATGTATATGGAACAAGCTGATAAAAATCGAATGTTCAGTCTGTTCTGTCAGGCGAGGAGAGAGCATCTACGGGTACGGAATTAAGAATGAACAAGTGCTCCGGCTACCTCGCACCTAGTATCGAATAAACTAAAGCTAAACTGTACTACTGACAGTTCCTGACATGGATCAAGAGAAGCTTCAATGCCTCCTGACAGGACATGACTCTAATTGGATGAACGAAGCGTATACCCTGGCCAATTACGGGGCATCCTATACGACTCAATTCACACAACATCCGTATGCAGCAGTTTCACCACCCTTGCGTTGACAACATGTTCAACTGGTAAGCCATGCTACTCTGGCCCAATCTAAAAACCGAATCATTTCCAATCAGTCCCTGCAACTGTCATTCTCGGACATGGTGGCTATCCATTGCCCGTGGGGGGAATGGTTGGTTGACGATGGAAATACGCCTCCCGGGACGAAGCTGTCAAGAAAGGCAAGCCACCTCCGCACACTCCGTCTTTTGGGCGCTTCCCAATGCATACCCCAGACTTTACAGAGACGCCACATCCTCTTTGGCACTTTACCCCCTGGTTCCTCCGCGATCAACGGGGTGAGCCGCCTCCACAAAAAGCCCCCTAGCGAAAGCAGACGAACGGCCACATCACGAATCAAGTCTACGCAACCCACGCGGCAATGCTGGAGATCGGTTGCATCGCGGCCATCTTGGCCTGCAGTAACTTCGCGCTTTTAACCCCGCTGTCGTTTTGTTTCTCGGCCTTCTTGCTTTGTTTCCATCTTTATCTAGTGGGCTCTGCAGAGAGTAGCCAATGCCTCTGCTGCCCACACCAGCGTTTCGGCCCATTGTTCGGCGGGCCACTCATCAGATGATGGTGCGGTGGGTGAAAAAGCCAAGCATCCTCCTTCATTTCAACTCCAGGGTTGCATTTTAGACTCTCTAGGCTCGGACCGATTCCGGATCTGCGTGGAAATGTTGAACAGCTTGAGCTGTCCCCGATGAAGCTGTCCAGGAACGGGAATAGCCTGACCGATTAGACGACAGGGAAGTTTGGTCGCCGGCCGCGATAGACTTGCCATCTTTGGACGTCCAGTGAACTTGTTTTGAAACATGTCAGCGTGGGAAGCAAGGATGCTGAGTGTGTGAGCATGACAATGGAATGCATCGGAGATAGTATTGGGAACAAGGGGGCCAGGGGGGGCTTGAAGAATAGTATCAACTGATATATAAACCATCCTAAACCCCCAACCTTGAAGTTGTTGTTCACCAGGTCATCAAGTCGTCTTCCAGCCCTCGACAGAACTCCTCTTCAAGTCGCTCACGAGCAGAAAAACCCAGTCACATCTTCCAACCATCACCATGACTCTTAAGCACTCCGCTCTCGTTGCTCTGGCTGCTGCCATGGGCGCCCAGGCTCAGGTCTTTACCGTCAACTGTGCTCCTTTGACTCAGTTCCGAGGTGACCCTATTGTGTCTCCTGGTGTTCTGTCTTCTCACGTCCACGCTATCGTCGGTGGCACTGCTTTCTCTCTCTCCGTCACCCCTGAGCAGGCACGAGCTGCCACAGCCACCACCTGTGACAAGATCCTCGACAACAGCAACTACTGGCAGCCCCAGCTTTACCACCAGCGCCACGATGGCCAGTTCGAGCTTGTCACCTTCCAGGGCAGTGTAAGTAGCTGAGCAATATTCAAATCATCTTCTTGAGACTAACACGGGCGGAAGGCTACCTACTACATCGCTCGTGCTTGCGACTATGCTCCTGGCCGACAGAACTGCAACGGAGCTCCTCTCCCCATTGCTCCTCCCGCTGGCCTTAAGATGCTTGTCGGTGACTTGACCCGACGGTATGTAGACCTTTGATTAAGATTCGTCAAGCTTCCTACTCTAACATCAGATTAGCACTTTCAACGCCTCCAGTTTCGAGGACCGTGCTATCTCGCACGTCTGCCTCGACACTGAGCCCGTTCCCGACACCAACGGCTTCCCTACCCGCCAGTGCCAGCGCATCCGTGCTGAGACCTTCTTCCAGTCCTGCTGGGACGGTGTCAATCTGGACTCTGCCAACCACAAGGACCACGTAAGTCTCCTCTCACGGATAACAGCGCGATGCTTCTGCTAACAAAGCTATAGGTTGCCTTCCCCGCTATCGGTGACTACAACACCGGTGTGTGCCCGCAGTCGCACCCCAAGGCCATCCTCTCAGTCTTCTACGAGTTCTTCTACGACACCGGCTCAGTCCAGAACTTCAACCGATTCGTCTACGCCACTGGTGATGCCACCGGCTACTCCCTGCACGCCGATTACTTCCAGGGCTGGAAGGACCAGAACGCTCTCAACAACGCCATCGCCACCTGCACTGGCCCCAACGGTGTCCTTGACCGCGGCTGCAGCTTGAACGTCGGCCCCAACGGAACTCCCGGCCAGTCCAGCACCCAGAAGCTCCAGACTCCCGCTCCTTCTGAGAACATTGGCCTCAGCGGTCCTATTGCCGCTCTCCCCGGCAACAACCCCATCCACTAAATTTCTCAACAAACGGATGACGACTGGAAGAAACTCTCGGTATAGGAAGGGAAATGGCAATGCGCTATGCAGAAACCGAGGACTCAGTCGCCCATTTGATGCAGACAGTGGCTGGAAATTGGGCTACAGATTGAATGAATGATGACAAAATTGGAACTCGTATGAGGCTGTGGCAATGGCTCTTTGTAACTACCTACATTGCCATGAGTTCTTTACGAGAGGTTGGGTTTTTACCATGCACATAGTTAGCGTTTACTACATAGGCAATGACGAATGATGTATATATGCATTAAAATCGTGTGCACTGAGTTGAATTGCACTGATTGAGTTGTGTGAGATAAGACAGAAAGAAATGGAAGCTAATTCAGCAGGCTATATCGCCCCCTTTGGATTATGAAAGCTTTTTAATAACACAAGGGAGACATGTGCTGTGAAACAGCGATAATGAATGGGGCTGCGTGTACGAAGTAGTACAAAGGGCGAGACTGTTCACAGTATAGAAGAAGGATTGGCTTCGCTCAACGGAAGTACCTCCTCCAAGCGGTGAATGGTGAGTGTATACGAGCTGTAAAAAGGGGGTTGAAGTTACATCGCGCCCTTTTCCCTACTTGTCCGTCGTTTGTCTCCGTGCATACGAGTATTTGCTTGTCTTTTCGTTCATGAATCAGCAGCAACTGATGGATACGAACTTTGCGAAGAGAGCAAAAAGAAAAAAGATAAGCCGTTGCTTTGCGCTCTGGACGAACAGGGAATCGAACCCTGGACCTTTCCCAATGAGAAGCTCAACCGCCAAATTAATTGGACTGGCTATGCTAAGGGAAAATTATACCACTAAACCATCCGCCCATTTGAGGCGCTCTGATTGGCTTGTCAGTCGGCGAGAATATTTTCATCATGAAGGATAGCGAAAGAGGTTCATTGTGAAGTCTCGGTGATGAAAACCCAAGAGAAGAAGAACTTTGACAATAAACTATCAGGCAGATTCTAGCCACTATAGTTTCTTGTAGGGTAGCATGTTCCGTTGATTTCAGCTTTCATAACAGCTTGATGAGAACTCGGTGGGGGGTTGGTGAGACATTCAATATGCAAGTTGTCGGTTTCGCCAGTCTCGGAATTTGAACTCTTGGACTCTGTACAAAGATCACCACTCGACTTTAGCCTGTTGTGATTGTCACGCCTGTGGCTAATGTTCACCGTCCTTGCCGGATTAGAATCTACACAAGTCCTCTGTCCTCCGTACTCTCCGTTCTCTCCGTATTAAACACTCGTATCCTGCCTGTACTCCTGTTGATCGTGCCAGCTGACCTCGGTTTTTGTCCTCTTTTAGGGTAACACGATCATGCGGGGGAGGCCGGCATTAAGGTGACCGGGGCCGTTTTGGCGTCGGCCGAGCCTACGTATTAATCCCAGCCAACACGGGCTTTTCTGTTAAGCACTTTACAAAACGAGGATAGCCGTATTGAATTCCTGGCACAAGTGTCTGAGCACAGAATAATCCGTATTACGACATGACGAATACGTTCGCCGCCCTGCGCCCAGATAATCGGAGTCTGCTCTGTTCTGCTCAGCTTCGAGCTGCCAATTCTTCAAGGAATGTTTGCTGCAAGAAAAGACGCGCGAGCCGACATCTTGTTCGCTTCTCGTTTAACGCGTTTCGCGCCGATCAGGGCTGTAAGAAAGCATACTTATAACCTCAATTGGTGGCTCGGCTGTCCGTTTATTCCGACAGGGGTATGCTCACTAAGGTTGCATAATGACAACCGCCATTAGCACTGACATGTCTGATCTAATGTTGGTTCGCGACCGCTAGAATTACTACTACCCAAGGGAGTTCTTGAGCAACATGAATAACAAAAATCGCCACGATCCAAGCCTCAACTGAAATGGAGTGGCATTTCGTAATAGCATTGGTCCTCTGCGGAAGTAAGGGGTGGCACTGCCAAATGCGGCCACCGTTTTCTGCTTGTTTGACCCTATTCCTGGAATACGAGCTGCGGCAGATGAATCCCGGCCGGGATCCAACCCCACACGCTTAACGCACATCATGAGATGGCCAAAGAGCTTAGGCAGTGTAAACCAACGGTTGAAGATCTGGCAACGTTACAGAGCTAGGCATCAGCAACAAAAATGGCGGAATTGTAGTGTAAGACATTTGAGAGAGATTACATCACTCAGCCGTGTAATATGTCTCTTGCCTACGTTATGTTGTGTCATGTTCGGAGTACTGAGACCTGGGATCGGCCCATCGCCGCCGGATATGTGGGATGACCCCCTGCATGCCATGCTCAATGACGATGGCCGACTGTGCTGCGGCATTGCCACCGCAACATTGGCAGACAGCCTTACCGGCAGGCCTCCATTCACGATACGAGATGATGCAAGGGTACCGAGTCGCCGTTGCAAACCGTGACCGCTTCTAGTAAGCTGTTCGGGTGATCGCATCCGATGCAGAACTGTCCCGACATCCCTGGAGCAGGGCAAAAGCCAAGTTTTTAGGTTCCAGAAGACATCCAGATTGTACCAACACGAGAATATCTTCTCCACTCGGGTTGGTTCCCTGCCTCATTCTAAAGTATGCGAGCATAGCTGAAATAAGTATATAAGAGAGAGGCCATACCCATTGTCCATCTTTCTGGTTCATCTTCCATCTCATCCATCTCATCCATCTCGTACATCTCATCCATTACTTCCAGCAGCTACCAAAACTTGACCTAAAACCAGTCCTCATAAAGACACATACAATCAGTCACCATGCAGATCACCAAGAGCCTCATCGCTACCCTCTTCGCCGCTTCTACCGCCTTTGCGGCTCCCACTCCTGCGGACAAGTCCATGATGGCCGCTGTCCCTGAGTGGACATTCACCAACCTGAAGAGAGTGTGCAACACCGCCAACACCTCCTGCACATGGACCTTTGGCGTCGATACACATCTCGCCACCGCCACCTCATGCACATACACCGTCAAGGCCACCGCCAACGCTTCTCAGGCCAGCGGCGGCCCCGTTACTTGCGGCCCTTACACTGTTACATCCAGCTGGAGCGGCCAGTTTGGCCCTAACAACGGCTTTACCACCTTTGCTGTTACCGATTTCTCCAAGAAGCTCATCACCTGGCCTGCTTATACCGATGTCCAAGTTCAGGGAGGCAAGGTTGTTTCGCCCAACCAGAGTTACGCCCCGGCCAACTTGCCATAAATGAAACGAATTTGCTTGGAATCACTATATGAACGGACAATTTACTCCAGACGGAACAGCTGGTAATAGTTGGAAACGGCAATGAATCAGGCGAGGGGGAATACGTACCACGAAATTTAATGTAATAGATGATTGACTATGATAATACAATCTTAATTAATGTGTCTGCGCTGTACATCATAAAAGTTTCACCATTATCTTGTGCTAAAAGTATAGCATCCGCCCTTTCATCAGAGTTTCCATTCAGTGTTTGTTGTAGAGTCCATATCAGTACTTTTTGGTAATCGTAGGTACGGATGAATCTGGGTGAATACAATCAACTACATGTATGCATAATAAATATAATTTATGCGCGCTGTTTCTTGATTAAGTTCAACACGCCTTATTTTATCAGCCCAACTGTGTCTATAAGATGATTTAGCTCGATTTCTGTGTAAAAGCCTTAGAGTATACGACGCCACGTTCAAGTATAAGATGCAAAAGTTTACGATGAATGGAACGCGATATCATCTGCTACAATTAACTTTAAAACAGCCTCAAGAGTCTTATAATTTGGAAAGAAGAGCATATTAGAATGCCATATAAACCCCGACAGCTTTTTGCTTCCAGTTCTTACAACCTTTCCCATCTACGAACCCTTTTTGTGTATCTCTTAACAAACGACTCACTCTTTTACAATATTTGGAAATTGAGGATTGCAAAAATGCGAGACCTTATATTCTATCCGCGTTATTGGGTGCTCGATGGTAACCTGTCCCCAGCTAGCCAGCGCCGTAGCCGCAGATTGCGTCGCTATTCTTTCGATGACAACGCCGTCCTTCGCCGACCTGTCCTCTACCGCTTGCCCGGTCATATGCCTCGCGGCGTACGAGTATACTCAGTAGTGGAGGGCCAGCAGCATCAATCAAGGGCTCCACGGAATATGGACAGGCATTCGCTAACAATGTCCCATATGCATCCGCTAACAATGTCCCATACGCATCCGCTAACAATGTCCCATATGCATCCGTATCGACCTCTGCTTATGGAAACAATGGTTATCTCTCTCGCCTCCGCTGGTTTAATATGGGTATACTCCAAATCTAGTACCCTCGAATAATTTCATATGGACAAGGATGGGACTAAGTTTGGATACATTTGCTTCGGGTATTGATTGTTTTTACATGTATGTTTTGATTATTTAATCGGAATGAGGATTTGATTAGACGATTCTACACCAACTACTTGACAATATATATTTGCAACGTGATTCGCCCTCATTCATTATATCCCTGTCTAACTCCCACCACTGAGCATCTATGGAGGAAAACTTAAATGTGATGGTGGTATGTTCACGTGGTTTCGAGAATGGGAAGACGATCTCTAGCTGGGTTGGTTGATGCCAGTATGGATGAAGTCAAATGTCCAGATCTGTACACCGACGTCCCTCTGCTAATGGTGTAGTCGCCTTTTACAAGTTTGCAAAAGCGGATACGCGGCATACAGTTTGCGTTTCCGTTTAATGGACATAGGCGCTGTCCTTTTATTCTTGGCCATCGTCATAAATGGCCATTGGACGAACGGCTGTGCAATTTCAGGAACGTGAAGCACATTTGGCCCCCAACTTGATGCATCTCAACTCGCCCCTTTGCATCCAATTGGCCAGGACTTTTGATGCTGTTTGTTCTGCTGTGGATACTGGGCGCTATGCCATGTAGAGAATGCAGTGCGCAGCAACATGGGTGCGTGGAAATAAGGATGGGGAGATGATGACCCGATCGGCTGAAACTTCCGAACAAGCACGGGTTGGAGTAATATGGCTTAGGTATGGAGTACTGTGTATACTATCTACGTAACGAGACGTAAAGTAATTCTTGTAGCAATTTGATGGCGTTCTTTGTTAGAACCATGATGATTCCAATGTGCCAATGTTTCAAATTAGGCGATGCGGTGTTTCAATGCTTCAAACTATTAGTCAATGTCTCTAATTACTAGATGCCTTGTGTGATCGATGCTAATGCGGCCGTCGAATTGGCGCCTTTTCAACCGGTTTTCTAGAGCATATCACCTACCGAACTCGACCAAGGGCCTTGATGCAAGGACCCATTCATAGCCAGGGATCATGTTCAGCTTCTCAGCTACCTGCCGATCATGAGTGGTTGTGCCGCACTCTATGGCGGGGGATCGATCCCGCGAACTCCATGAAACCCCACGGGTATCAACGGGAGCATCTCATGCGTCGAATGAGCTGGTTAGAAAGGTCGGGAACATATCCCGATTCTCCATTCATGCATATATTACCTTGCGCAGTAGATTATAACATCTTATTCCGGCTATTTATAGGGACACACGATATCGATGGGATCTTTTGGCCTCTAATTTGTAGGGATCGTCGCAAGAGGGGTGACATTCGCCTCTCCAGCTCGGAAGCTTCTAAGTATATAAACCCTTTCATTTATCCCGAGCTGAACCCTTTTCATGTAAAGCAGTTCGTCCTAGCTTCTATATAACAACTTTGCATAAAAGAAAAAGCCCTAAACACTGTTAAGATGAAGTCACTTGCTTCCATTGCAATCGGGTCAGCGGCTCTCGCCTCTGTTGCCAGTGCAACCGTCAAAGGATTCGACATTTCTCATTACCAACCCACTGTTGACTTTGCCAAGGCATATTCA